AACGTGTGAGGGGTGTGCCAAAATGGTGCGGCGGCGCCATGCGAGTTTCGCAACTGGGACCTTAGGTGGAGCTCCCTATGGGGCCACGAAACGTGTGAGGGGTGTGCCGAAACAGAGACATGCGGAGAGCAAAAGCCAGGATGGGGGAGGAGGGAGGAGGGGGAGGAGGAAGGAAGGAAGGAGACGCGGGGCACCGTCTCTTCAAAACGAGGACCCAACACCACAGGATGGTTGGGAAAAAACAATACGATCTAGAATGAGAGGTTGCAGGATTACACATGAAACCAGATTATGGTGGAGTGCACTATGGACTGTAATGCAATGGTGAAACACCATGTACGAAACAGTTCAGAATCGTACATGTTATGATAAATAATGGTATGATATCATCTAGCGGCGTCGAAGTGAGTATGATATGTTATGATATGGTATCTTAACACGAAATCATACAGTATTACCCAATGTCACATGTAATCGAATAGAATGTGGCACAATGAAAACCAATGAAGTACAGTATAGAACAACTTCTGTTCGACGTGATACAATATACCATAGCTTGCTACAAAAAATGAATGCAAGATAGTTGTAAAAAGAAATCATGACACCAAGATGATATGGTACAACAGAGTTGAGTCGAACATAATCCGCCGGCCCCCTTGTGGGGCCACCAGGCTGTAGGCCCGTGATTCGCAGTTTCCTTTACCAGTCGTAGGTGGTAGTTTCCAGTGTTACAGTTCTGCTTCTTGCTGGTTACTGTAACTAGTTGACTTATTGCTGGTTACTGTAACTAGTTGACTTCTTGCTGGTTACTGTAACTAGTTGACTTATTGCTGGTTACTGTAACTAGTTGATTGAGCGCGCGAGGGGGGGGGAGGCCCAAACCGGCTTTTTAGCACCCCCTGGGCGCGTTGTCTGAATTGCTGGGGGGGCTCGAAATCCACACCCCTCACGCAGATCCGCAGGGTCAGGGTTCAAAAACACATGGGATTTGCCACATTTCTAAAATTCGGCGGCACCCCTCACGCAGATCGGCGGGATCAGGGTCCAAAAACATATAGGATTTGCAACATTTCTATAATTCGGCGCCACCCCTCACGCAGATCCGCGGGATCAGGGTCCAAAAACACATGGGATTTGCCACATTTCTGAAATTCGGTGGCACCCCTCACGCAGATCCGCGGGATCAGGGTCCAAAAACACAGGGGATTTGCCACATTTCTGAAATTCGGTGCCACCCCTCACGCAGATCCGCGGGGTCAGGGTCCAAAAACACATGGGATTTGCCACATTTCTGAAATTCGGTGCCACCCCTCACGCAGATCCGCGGGGTCAGGGTCCAAAAACACATGGGATTTGCCACATTTCTGAAATTCGGTGCCACCCCTCACGCAGATCCGCGGGGTCAGGGTCCAAAAACACAGGGGATTTGCCACATTTCTGAAATTCGGTGCCACCCCTCACGCAGGTCCGCGGGGTCAGGTTCCAAAAACACAGGGGATTTGCCACATTTCTGAAATTCGGCGCCACCCCTCACGCAGATCCGCGGGGTCAGGGTCCAAAAACACAGGGGATTTGCCACATTTCTGAAATTCGGTGCCACCCTTCACGCACATCCATCGCAAGGCGTGGTAACCCAAACTGCGAGAACTCCCTCGGCCCTTTAATCGCAAGGTGTGGTAACCAAGCCCGTAAACCATACACGTCTTACCAATCGCCAGGTGTGGTAACCCCTCTTGTGATCAGTTGGTTTTGCTGATTGCGAATCGGCTTCGCATGAAGTTTCGATACTGCTTCACGACAGCGCCAAGGCCTCATGACTTAGCTCTTCCATGGCCCATTCTCCGAGAGAGGGAGCCGGCGGCAGGGGGCAAAGCCCTTACGGATAAAATATAATAGACTATATCATAGCATGCCATGTAATACGAAATATCATGAT